CCCCTCCCCTCCCCTCCCCTTCCTTCCCTTTGTTTGTCTGTGACAGGGCCTTAGTATGCAGCCCCAGGCTGGCCTAAAACCCACCATCCTCCTTCCTTCTCTCCTGACTTTTGAGAGTACAGGCCCACCCCACCACTGAAAATTTCTTTTTCTTCCCTTTTTCCAGTGTCTAGCAGCCTTTGCATTCCTTGACTTCTTACCCTTTCCTCCATCTTCAGGTCACATCACATCACTTTGATGGCAGTGCACTGTCACCTCCCTCCTGTGACTCCAGCTGCACTGCCTCCCTCCAGAGAGGCCCTCTGTGATTACATGGTGCCCACAGATAACCTAGGATCACCTCTCTGTAACAACATACTCCGTCCCATCACAGAGTCCCTGAGGCCAGACCACATGCTCATGGAGTCAAGGACTAAGGGGGGCGGGGTTGGTGACCGTTGTTCTGTTGACCACAGACCCCAACTGTGAGAGCCCTGACATTTGGGAAGGGGTATGGTAAGAGGTGAGAGGGCCTTGAAAGGGGACAAGTGGCGCCCTACATTGCAGCTAGAACACCCCTCTGCTGTGGGCCCTTGACCTCGAGCTCTATACCCTGGAAGGAAGTTGGCACGCCTGTCAGGGCCCCTTCTCTGTCTTTCTGGATGCCCTGCCCAGGAGTGTCCTGCTGCAGGTTGGGAAGGAGAGAAGCGTCTTTTGCAGAGTACACTGCCTCACTCCACCACACTGGCCAGGCAACTATTGAGCCTTAGATTCTCCCTGAAAAACACTCCCCCTTGTGGTGTCTTCTCCCTGGGCTCCCTGGCTCCACCCCATCAGAGCAGGGTCCTGCAGCTCCTGCCTCTGCCTGGGAGTCTCTGCCCTCGGATGCCCACATAGTTCGCCTTTCCCTTGGTCTCTGGCAATGGCCCATTACAGAGTGCTCATGCTCCCTCTCACTCTGGTCCTTACCCCTGTGAGTTCTTAAGACTTCTCTGCCCAATATGCCCAGTGCATTCTGTGCACCTCTGGCCTCTGTTACCCTTCATGGGACAAGCTCCATGGGGCAAAGAGCTTGTCCTCAGGATGGCAGACACTGTGCCTTTAGAATCTAGAGCAGAGACTGGCAGACAGCAGGCCCTTGAGGAGGAACGGGAGCCCCTCTGAGCTCCTGGGCCTGCTCCTTCCCCTGTTAGCTGAGCCTGCTCAAAGCACACAGTATCAGGAAGCCTAGGGGAACTCAGAGCCCAGGAGTCATTTGTGCTCTGGGTCAGTACTACTGGGGCTCCATCTGCTCAGTTCCAGATGCTGACAGGTACCCTGTCACCTCAGCCATTCTGGGCTTCTTTTTACTGAGTATTTTCTTGGAGGAAAAAAAAAAATCCCAATTGACATGCTAGTTTTTACTTTTATAGCATTGAAGTTTTTCCCTGGGGTAGAAACACAGTTCTGCAAACAACCTAACCATGTTACCATAGAACATCTCTTAACTGTCACATACACAATGAAAAACAGTGCAGGAAAATAAGCAAGTGCTAATCTGTCCCCCAAGGCACACGAGATAAAGAATAAATACATATTCCAGTCCACAAATAGAATCTTGACTCAAGGAGGGGCTGCACGGCCTTCAGGTTTACTTTGGCAGCAGCTTCTGTTTCCCGCCCATCCCAGAGCTTCCTACAGAGTCAACAGCCTGCAGCTGGACGAGGCAGTGTCCTGGAGTGTATACCGAGAGCCAGCCTGGAAGACACACTTCCTCCTGGAAGCACCTCCGAGACCATGGCAGCACCTGGCCCGGCTGCAACAGGTGGCTTGGTCCAAGGCCACGCTCAGTCCCTAGCCACTTGGAGTGTCTTGATGCCAACTTTGTACACAAAGACCACAGCTTGCAACGGAACACCAGAGGGCCGGCTGGCTCTGTTGACACAGACATGATCTGGGAGGGACCCAAAAATATTTCTTGAGACAAGAAAATGCAGTCATTCTTGAGTCTCCGTCACAGGGGCGTCTATGTGAACTGCTGTAACAGACCACACAGTCTTCTGACAGTCAGGTGTATGCCCTTTCCAGGCATGAGGGTGCATAACTGTAACTGCAGCATTTGGGAGGCTTGGACAGGAAGATCTCAAGTTTGAGAGCAACCTGAGCTCTGTAGAGAGATCCCATCTCAACACACACACACATGGGCGCACTCACACACATATGCGTGCACGCACACACACGTACCCTGTACTAGATAGCTTTAGTGTCAACTTGACACACCTAGGTAGAAGGAGCCTCAACTGAGGAATTTCTTCCATTGGACTGGTCTGTGGCTGTTTATTGGGGTATTTTCTTGATTTTTGAGTGGGCTCAGCCCACTGTGGGTGGTACTGGTCCTATATTGTATAAGAAAGCAGGCTGAGCAGGGGCCAGGGGAGCAAGCCTGTAAGCAGTGTTCCTCCATGGCCTGTGCTCCAGCTCCTGCCTCCAGGTTCCTGCCCTGAGTTCCGACCTTGGGCTCCCTCAGTGATGAACTGTGACCTGGGAGATGTAAGATAAACCCTTTCCTCCCCAGGTTGGTACTGGTCAGGGTGTTTTGTCACCACAATTGAAGGCAGACTAGAACACACCCTAAATGTGTTCTTTTACTGCCCTGGAGGTCAGAAGTGGAAACTGCTCACTAAGATGGGGGTGAGTTGTTGGTACAGCCTCTTGGAGGCTCTAGGAGAGAATCATTTCCTGCCTTTTCCAGCTGATAGAAGCACTGGTAACCCTGGGCTCAGGCCCTCCCCTCGCTTTTGAAGCCTGCAGCAGAGAATTCTCAAGTCTCTCTTTGACTCTGACCTACACACTTTTCTCTATGAGCAAGCAAGGACCTTGTCATGACACACTGGGCGCCTGAATAATCAAAGGTGGCTTCCCTATCTCGTAGCCTTAGCTCTTATCCCACCTTTTCAAAGGTTGGGTGACACATCCCAGGACTGGGAGGTGGGCACCAAGGAGCTGTTTTCCAGCTCAGTCCTGTAAATCCAGCCCCAGGCAGCTTCAGCAGCCCTGTCTAGGAGTGGACAGAGTGAGGCATCATGGGGGCTGTGGGCCACGTTGGAAATGCTCTGGGGCAGCATTGCCCTGCAGCAGCTGATGGCATGATGGAATGTTCCAGAACTGCACTGCATACACAACAGACCCAGGCAGCTGTAGTCATGAGCTCTTGAAGTGTGGTAGGCACAAAGAGGAACTGACAGTTTACTTGGCTGTAGTTATCTGAGATTTAAATGGCCTTACATGGCCAGGGACTACCACATCAGGAGGTGCGGCTGTCTGTCCTCACTAGGATGTTCTTACAGGGATGTTACTTACAGATGAGGCAGTTCCTGTACTCATGTGTCCACCTTTCTGTGTATAACCCCTCAGTTTACAGAGGTCACTTGGGGCCAGATGCTTCTGCACTACATGAATTAGCGGAACACACAGGGATTTGGCCATATAGGACCCGGGGGTGCTGGGACTGAAGAAAAAGATGAGGCAAAAGACACTGAGGACGTGGCCAGGGCCACTCAGTGGCGGCACAACTCACGGTCCCTCAACTGTCAAGGCCATCCTGACATCTACCTGGCAGCTGGTTGTCAGAGGGAGTCTTCCCTTCACAGAGGTCTAAGGTGTATGGTTCATTCTCAGCAAAGCCTTCCAGGTGTGTGAAGATTAAACCAGCTGGGGGCCTGGAGCGTGCCAAGCAAGCACTCTACCACTGACCTGCATCCCCAACTCTACACGATGTTTAAAATAAAATGCTTTGTGTCTTTCAAGCAGGTCTTGGTTACTGGCCACGTAAGTCAAAAGCACTATCCTGAAAGGTCAGAGTGGATGGAAGAGCCACCAGCTCGGGAAGACAAGTGCCCTACTTGGCTCCTGTGCCATCTCCCCGCACGTACAATTAGTTAAGTAATTGGAAGACATCTACTGAACAGCAGCTGCGAGGTCACCAATGACAGTGTGCCCTGCACATGTAGCACTCCCGTGCCCCAGGCTGTACATTTTCATGCATTCATCCCTCTTCGGGTCCAGATTACATAGGGAAGCCACGCCTTACCCTAAAGACTTGGGAACATGTTTGCAAAGCTCCCTGAGTACCTGG